GAGTTTATTTTACTTAGTTATAACACTTAATGAGGGTTTTGCATTCTGTTTTCTTATTACAATTATAATAGTTTATAATACCCATTGGTATTAATTCCTTTGTCATTAGGGTTATTGCTTTTATTTGCCATTTCTGTCATTCTGCCTGGTTTTAAGTCTTACAAAAAATCCTCATGAACAGCTAGGTTTAATTATTTTTAAAATTGTTTGTATTTGTTTATAGACAGGGTCTTGCTCTGTTGTCCAAGCTGGAGTGCAGTGGCATGATCATAACTTACTGCAGCCTTGAACTCCTAGGCTCAAGTAACCCTCTTCCTGTCTTATCCCTCTGAGTAGCTAGGACTACAGGGTGTGCCACCATGCCCAGCTAACTTTTTTATTTTTACATTTTAGAGATGGGGGTCTCATTTTGTTGCCCAGGCTGGTCTTAAACTCCTGGCCTTTAGCCATCCTCCCACCCTGGCCTCCTATAGGTCTGGGATTATAGGCGTGAATCACTGTGCCTGGTGTTTTTATTTTTAAATTGACAGATAAAATTGTATGTATTTATTATGTACAATATGGTGTTTTGAAGTATATATACATTGTGGAACGGCTAAGTATAGCTAACATAGGTATTATGTCACATAGTTGTCATTTTTGTGGTGAGAACACTTTTAACATCCATTCACTCAGCATTTTTCAAGAGTACAATATATTGTTATTAACTATAATTACTATGTTATACAGCTACTTTTTATTTTGAATTGTGATTTAAAGAACATTTCCAAGTATTTTTTTTACTGAAAACATATCTAAAACATTTTGCATGATAAGTGATGATTTGGCTGGGTATAAAATTATTGGGTCCTAACATTTTTATGCAATAGAGGTCCTGCTTTATTTGCTGTCTTTATATGGCTGGCCTCAAATTTCTGATCTGCAGAAATAACTTTCCTAGGTGTGTGCTCGCAGCATTCTCTTACCTTGGAAATGGACACATTTATCAGGATATGACTAAAAGTTTTTCTCTGTCACTAGCTTTCCCAGGGAAATGATGAAACATTCTCATGTCTGGGAAGACTGCCTTCTCCATTTTTGTATTCATTTTTTCAATTATCTTCTGAAATACCTATTATTTACACATTGAGTTTCTGTAACTTTTATAGTACATTGTTTCAAGTTAGCTAATGAAAAGGATAAGATCCTCTATTCTAGAAAGATTTATCAAATTTGTCTTCTCCATCCCTGATGAAATTTTCTGGATGTCACACATAATTACTGTCTCTAAAACATATTTAGCGCCCTTGATTTCTCAGTCTGTTATTAAACGATGGTAATGTTCTCTTGTCTTTTCTGAAGGCCACAAAATGGGTATTTTTGTAAAGCTTGTTATATTTAATGAAACAACTTCCAGGGAAGTGATTTTTCTTTGTGTTGAAGAGTATATTTGTTTTTCTTCTTGCTTATTAAGAGTTGCTTGTAGCTGTTCTTGGTGTGGGATGTTAAGAGCAGCTGGTCATCTCTCAGAATTGCCTTGGGGTACTGAGATTTTGGTTTTGTTTTGGTGCTGAAGAGCAAGTTGACATTGGGGAGCTTCAATTTCTTGGAGAATGTTAGTAGCAGAATTTCAGCAAATATGAAATTTTATTAAATCCTGTAAATCTTAAGAGCCTAAGACATTCAGCTGAATATGGGCTTTTGGCTGAGAGGTATAATTTTGTAGAATTAGAGATGTTTAAAAGGAATAGTTTTCAAGTTTTTAAATCCTTCACAACTTAGCTTTCTGCACTGAGGCAAGTGGAAGAGTGTATGTGTATTCTTAAAAGAAGATTTTGGACTAGAAAACAATTTTTTTTCCCCATCTTCTTTTGTTCTTCTGTAGCTCAGACCTTGAATAATGATCTGTGTCTGGTTCACCTTGACGTTATTTTAAACCCTGTAAGCACTAAACTATAAATAAGTATTTAGAGGACTTTATTTGATATGCTTTGTCTGAATCTGTGCCTCTTAGTTGTATTTGTACATTTTATTCATATTTACATTTTCAGAACCATAGACTAGGAATACCTTTGTTACGCAGAACGAAGCACATAACAAAATATTTGTTAGTATTTGCTAGTATCAAGTCTTGAGTGGAGGCCAGGTGTGGTGGCTCATGCCTGTAATCCCAGCACTTTAGGAGGCCGAGGAGGGCAGATCACTTGAGGTAAGGAGTTCCAGACCAGTCTGGCTGACATGGTGAAACCCCATCTCTACTAAAAATACAAAAAATTAGCCAGGCATAGTGGCATGCATCTATAATCCCAGCTATTCAGAGGCTGAGGCAGGAGAATTGCTTGAACCCGGGAGCGGAGGTTGTAGTGAGACGAGATCATGCCACTGCACTCCAGCCTGGGTGACAAGAGTGAGACTCTGTCTCCAAAAAAAAAGTCTTGGGTAGGACACAGGAAATAGTGGAAAAAAGAGGCCTTTAGAAAGATGTGTTGTATCTATTACAGTTCCATAGCATCTAGTTACTGAATAAGGAAACGAGCTGGCTTTCATTTTGTATTTCAGAGTTTCTATATAATTAAAAAGATCATATGTGACTTATACACTTTGAATCTTGAGTTTTAGAATTTGATCCATAGCATTCAGTTTTAGCCAAAATAATAATCCTCTTTGGAGAAGATAGTCCTTTTTAAATTTCTCTCTGGCAATTCTGACTTGGGAAGTGTACAACAGTCTGAGAGTAAGTTCTTAAAAGTTGTAACTTTTGTCTTATTTCCTGATGAATTTTCTCCTAATGCCTGTTTTTGGTTAATGATGATGTGCTTGACAATTCAATAGTCAGCAATTTGTTAACTGAAAGGAAGAGAATAGTAAGCAGGTAGTCAAGTCAAACTGCAAAAGAAGATTTGTGATAGATTTAATGTTTAAGTTTCAGAAATCACCTGGGAAAGATATGTGGCTATTAAATTTGTAATTTTGTCCTTTTTGCCTCTAAAATTAAGATTTGTCAACTAAGGTAGAGAAATTTGCCTGATGCAAGTATGCTTGTGTGCAGGTACACAGAGGTATATATATTTTACTTAACTTGAGGAAGGAGCGAATTTAAGGTTAGAGAGGCGTTTGTGGGTTTTTGGAATAAAATGGAAATAAATGTGAAACAAAAATTAAGTCTGATAACGATGAATTGCAGATAATTAAATTAATGATTGTAGATTAAGTACTACATGAATTATTTTCAGAGAATGGCATGGAATTTCCATTCCAACAAGTTGGTTTAAATGACTGAACACAAAATTTTTTTGTATTTTTAGTAGAGACGGGGTTTCACCATGTTGACCAGGATGGTCTCGATCTCTTGACCTCGTGATCCACCCACCTCGGCCTCCCAAAGTGCTGGGATTACAGGCTTGAGCCACCGCGCCTGGCCCTGAACACAATTTTTTAAATTATTGTTTTTTGAAATAAGGTCTTACTCTGTCTCCCAGGCTGGAGTGCAATGGCACAGTCACGGCTCACTGGAGCCTTGACCTTCCTAGCTTAAGCGATTCTCCTACCTCAGCTTCTCGAGTAACTGACTACAGGTGTACGCCACCATGCCCAGCTAATTTTTGTATTTTTTTTGTAAAGATGGGGTTTCACCGTGTTGCCCAGGCTGGTCTCGAACTCTTGGACTCAAGTGATCAGGGCACCTTAGCTTCCCAAAGTGCTGGGATAACAGGGAACTACTTTATTAAAAAAAAATAAATTATTTATTTATTTATAAGACGAGATCTCACTCTGTCACCCAGGCTGGAGTGCAGTGGCACGATCTCGGCTCACTGCCACCTCAGTCTTCCAGGTAGAGGCGATCCTTCCACCTCAGCCCCAGAAGTAGCTGGGACTACAGGCATGCGCAATCATGCCCCATTAATTTTTGTATTTTTTTGGTAGACATGGGGTTTTGCCATGTTGCCTATGCTGTTCTCAAACTTGGGCTGAGCTCAAGCGATCTGCACACCAGCCCTCCTTGGCCTCCCAAAGTGCTGGGATTACAGGCATGAGCCACCATGCCTGGCCTACGGGGAATAACTTTAAAATTATCAAGTGACTTAATGTCAGAAATTTCTGATAGCCACTGCAAGTTGTTTTATAACAAAGCACCTTCATTCATTTGAAAGTTAAGAATGGAGTAGGAATGGTGAGGTTGCTTATTAGTAATTCAAATTTAAGTTTTGAGTCTTTGGGTTATTTCCTTACTATTATGAAGTCTGAGAGGTGTGAAAATAGCATGGAAAAGTTTGTCTTCTGTTTCACTATTAGTTTGTAATTTTTAGTTTTTAATTTTATATTTAGAGACAGACAGTTGTGTGTGTGTGTGTGTGTGTGTGTGTGTGTGTGTGTGTGTGTGTATTTGTTCTCCTTCCTCAAATCATTGCAAAGTATGTACTTAGTGTATATTTCTTTGAAGTGAAAGTTTCAGAAAGAAGCTATTGGCTGAGCTGATTATCCAATGAAGTTGTCTGACATGGGTTACTTTAGTTTGTGGTTTTAGATGAACAGTGCATTGTGCACAGCTGTTACTCAAACAGCTTTGTTCCAGCTGTCTTACTGGCCAGTCATAAAATACCCCACATTCCTTTTCTTTTAAAAGCAGAACCTCTTGTAATATTCTATACTTTATACTTAAAATGGATCTGGTAATTAATGATTTTCCTTGATTTTTACTCCGATCAATAGCTATTTACTTAGAGTAATGTCAAAATGAATTATGTGTAATAGATTTCAGCCTTGTCATATTTTTAATTTTTTGAGAATTAAACTTGCAGTTGTGAAATATGTATATGAGACAAGTTAAGTGATTAACATTGAAAAAGACACCATACATTAATCATGTCCCCCAAATAAGTAGCTGGTATCTAGATAATGAAACTGGGCATCTTCTCTTTTCTTAATATTAACCTTGAGTTTGCATTAATTCCAATAGAATTATGAAATGAAAAACTATAATGTTGTGTTCTATAGCTTGTATAGAACTTGTATAGGTGAACTTTGGTTTGTATTTTTGATAAGGTGGTTGCTTGGTTGGTCTTCCTTTTCCCATCCAGTGCAGTAACTGAATTATATAAAGGCTTTCAACTTTTGTTTTTTAATTAGGAACAGGTGTCTATGAAAAATATATTGAAGTAATTATGACTAATTATTTCATTTTCTACCAGTTACAACCCTTTATGATTGGAAGGGAACACAGAATCGTCATGGTCACTATTTCCATTCTACAGATGAGGAAATGTAGGCTTGGGAAGAAGGGATTTGCCTGAGGTCCTGCAGCAAGTAAAAAGTGAAGCTGGGATTTAAGTTGGTTTTCCTAGTTCTAAATATGATCCTCTTCCCACTACAGAACTATTAATGTTAAGTTGGAGTAAAAGTGACAACACTTATTAGAGGGGAGCTGAAAAGCATGATAAATAGATACTCTTTGTGTATGAAGTTTTTGGTCATGTGACTATGTTAACAGTTTGAATCTGGGAACAGCACTGGGGTAGGAAGAGAGGGAAGAGTAAGTGAGGTTTAACCCAAAACCACACTTGATGTATTTGTATTTCTATTAAAAATGCAAATGATGGCTACTGATAAAAACTTAGTATGGAGCTGAAGATTTGCAGCGATGTCCTGTTCAAAACGTAGTTTAGGAAGACTGTTATATGATTATTAATGATGTATAGATGGATGAGAATGACGGATACCAAATTCAGGATATTGATTACCTCTTGGTGTTGGAGAAGAGAGAGGACTATTATTGAGGAGGCATGCAAAAGTCTTCAATCATATTACAAATGTTTTATTTCCTAAGTTGGGTGGTGGGTATGCATATTCTTTATATTTTTTCATAACATTTTCTGAGGTATTTTATAGTTAAGAACAGAATATACTCTGAATTGACTTAAATATATAGTCAAATGAAAATTTTTAGCTGTTCATTTGGTGTTAAAGGTATGACTTGGTTGACGAGACACAAAGTGTGTTCTTCAGGATAGGAATTTATTTTTATTTTTATTTTTTTTGGCCCTCGTCTTTTCAAACAACAAATAAAACTTGAGTACATTCTTATTATAGTAAGAAATTCATATTTGAATTTGTGGATAAAACTGTTGTATGTGAATGTGAGTGTTGTGATTTGCTTTTAAAATTAATATACATGGTTTCTGAAGATTTCTCCAAAGCACAGTATCTGATTTTGTCTTGGTAGTTACAGGAGCTGATGATTAATTTTTTCTTAAGTTTCCTATGTAAAGAAATGATGGCTTTAACTTTTCTCAGCACCAAATTCTTAACACGTTTTTAGGTATACAAAACAAATGTCCACATAATGTAGTTTGAGGTAGGTTTAATGACTGAAAGAAAACCTGGAGTATCATACTAGACCTGTGCTCTGTGCTATGCTGTTGACTTTTTTTGCCCGTGAAATTTACTGCTATAGAAAATGGATAACTTTTGGACTGAGAAGATTTTCATCAAGGATTGAATTTTTGGGGGGAGGGGTAGGATTATTTATTTTAAAAACGTGCTGCCACTCTTGGTGGCCTTATGTATGACAGGAATCTCATTTTCATCATGGAATTTGAAAAAATGATGGGGTCACTGGTTATCTAAAGGCTTCAACTTTGATTTTGAGAGAGGTGGGATGGAAGAGAGAAAAGGAATTCTGTGTTCTTGCAACAAGAATGTGAAAGTATATACATTTGAATGTTGCTAATTGCCTCAAGAAAGAAACTCTTCATCTTTAGACTTATATATTATAATGTTTAAGAGGAAGAGGGTAGGGTAGGTAAGAGGTGGAAGGTTGGGAAAGGTGGATAACTGCTCTTGGTCTTGAGTTTAGAGGTTTGGATTATATCCTTTTTAGGAGTTACCAAGGAATGAACTCACGGTATAAATTGGGGATCCTTTGATGATTGTGGATAGATTTTTATGGATCTAAGTGTCTGGCTCTTGTGGTATTGATTTTTGAGAACTTGAAAAAGTGTTTTGCTTCTAATACGGTTTAGTTTTGTAGGCATTTTTCTTTTCGTGTCTTCTAGCAGAACCATTCTCGTTCCAGTGACAAATATAAGCAGTGGTTCATTAAGACTTTTTAATAAACAGAATTTGGAAACTGTTCTTAATGTGGGGATTCTTAACTTTTCTGTGTAAAGGGCTCTTGGTAGTTTGGTAAAGCCTATGGGATTCTCCAAATACTTTTTTCTGGCCATACATGGTGGCTCACGCCTGTAATTCCAGCACTTTGGGAGGCCGAGATGGCTAGATCACTTGAGGTCAGGAGTTTTAGACCACCGTAGCCTACGTGGCAAAACCCTATTTCTACTGAAAAAAAAATAAAAAATTAGCTGGGCCTGATGGGGTACCCCTGTAATCCCAGCTACTCAGGAAGCTGAGTCAGAAATAGCTTGAACCTTGGAGGCGAAGGTTGCAGTGGGCCAAGATTGCCCCACTACACTCCAGCCAGGGTGATAGACTGGACTACACTCTAGCCAGGGTGAAGTGTTGCCCTGTTACCCAGGCTGGAGTGTAGTGGCAAGATTTCGACTCACTGCACCCTTCCCTACAACCCCCAACCCTGGCTCAAGCAAATGTCCCACCTTAGCCTCCTGAGTAGCTGGAACCATTGGCCTGCACCACCACAGCTGGCTATTTTTTTTGTGTTTTTAGTAGAGATGGGATCTTTCCATGTTACCCAGGCTGGTCTCAAACCTCTGAGCTCAAGCCATCTGCCTGCCTCAGCCTCTCAAAGTGGTGGGATTACAGGCATGAGCCACTACTCCCAGCCAGAATACTATTTTTAAATGTATAAAATAAAAAGAATAGGATAATAAGGGGAACCAATATGTTTAAATTCAAGTAACTTTCTTTTTTAACTTTAATAACTTCTCTTTTTAAATTCTTTTTAACTTTAATAGTGTAAATGCTATTCTGACTTATCTGCAATAGCTATTACATGAAAATGTCTGATGTCTGTTGGTGATAGTCCACAGGTATTGCTAGATTGCTTTATAGAGGAAGTGCTAAGTTTCAGTTGGAGGTATCAGAAAACAAAATTAAAACAAATTTAGTCGAAAGATCTAATTGGCTTTTTGATACTAGAATCTGGCAACATCTCATTCTGTAAAATAGAGTGACTATTTTGATGAACTGAGCACAGAAGTTTGGCTTTAAAGGCAGAAAAGGGCTGAAAACAGAAACAAAACAAAAAATGGATTGGTCTTTTTTTTTATTATTAATTTTTTCCTTTTTCTTTCTTTCTTTCTTTCTTTTTTTTTTTTTTTTAAGAGACAGTTTCACTGTGTTACCCAGGCTGGTGTTGAACTACTGGCCTCAAGTGATTTTTCCCACCTTGGTTTCCCAAAGTACTGGGATGACAGGTGTGAGTCACTGAGCCCAGGGGGATTGATCTTTTTAAAGTTATTTTCCTTGGAAATGTTAAAGCAGATGGGACTTCCTTATAATGCCAGCTAAAACTGGCCTGTTTGGGGATTCAGCTATTATCTCTCATTCTCTTGATTTCTAGGTCAGATAAATGGCTTGGTGGTGTGAAACTTCATTCAGCATGGGTAGCTTTGTTTTGGTTTGGTCTGTTGGGCCTAGTACAGAAGCTCAGTCCAAACTGATGGCCTCTCATAAGTTTAATTTAACAGAGGTTAGTGAAAAACCATTTTGCCCATCGTTTTGAAGTTTTAAATACCAAGATCCCTTTTCTATTGTGGTGGAAAAAGAAATCAGAATTTGCGATTGAGTCCCATATTCACTGTTTTGTAGTATCCGTATCCTTCTGTAACTCTGAGCCTTAAATCCCCAGAACCTCTTTTTAATGTGGTTTAAAAAAAAAAAAAATCAGGATTTGGAGCCATTTGACTTTGGGATTGAGTTTCATCTTTACATGTTGTGCATTCCTAATCCAAAAATCTGAAATCCAGAATGCTCAAAAAATCTGAAACTTTTTGAGTGCCAATATGATGTCACAAGTGGAAAATTTCAAACTTGACCTCAATTAAGTGTGAAAGCACACAAACTTCGTTTCATGAACAAAATTATTTTTAAAAAGTATCAAATTACCTTTTAGATATGTGTAAAATGTGTATAGAAACATAAATAAATCTCACGTTTAGACTTGGGTCCCATCCTCAAGTTAACTCATGTATATGCAGATATTCCAAAATCCAAAATAATTTCAGATCTGAAACACTTCTAGTCCCAAGTATTTCAGATAAGGGATACTCAACCTGTACTTACTAGTGTCTATATCCTTATGCTTCTCTGAGGCTTAATTTCCTCATCAATATAATGGGGATGATAATAGTACTTACCTTATAGGATTTTAGCTTTTTTTGTGGGTACTCTAGGTATTACATTATTTATGTAAAATTTATTGTGATCTACTGGTATTGTCATTTTGCCAGTTTGAGTAAAGTGTGGAAACCTTATTTCCCTTTATGTTCCTTTATCTTCCTGTTTACAATATAATTTGTAAATATTCTCACTATGTACATTTTATAGTATTAAAATTTTTCTGCAGAAAACTTGAGAAGGAAAGCTATGGAGTTTGTCTATATTTTTGCTAGCCATGATCTTTTTTCATTTCTGATTTATCAAGGTTCTTTTTATTAAGGGACTTTCTTTAGCCATTCTTTTAGGGTGACCCTGCTGGCAACAAATTCTCTTTGGTTTTCCTTATCTGATAATATCTCGATTTCTCCTTCAACACAGAACAATTTTTAAAAAATGTAATGTACGTAAGAGTCTGAGGTAATACAGTAGTCCCTCTTATCTGCAAGGATATATATTTCAACCCCTTGCATAGATGCCTGAAACTGTGGATAGTACTGATCCCTCCATACCTTGTTTTTCCAATACATAGATATCTACGATAAAGTTTAATTTATAAATTAGGCACAGTAAGTGATTAGATTATTAACAAAGTAGAAAAATTACAACAATATACTACAATAAAAGTTACCTGACTGTGGTCTTTCTCTCAGAATATCTTTTTGTTCTGTGTTCTTACGATGATGATGTGAGATAATGCCTACTTGAGATGTAGTCAGGTAAATGATGTAGGCATTGTGATGTTGCATT